GGGGGGGGGGGGGGGGGGGGGTGCTGTGTTCGATGGGGCGGCCCATGGTGAATGGGAGTCCTGTGCATGCAGAGCTGCGTATCAGTTAAAGGAAACCCCTGTTTATTTGTGCCACTCATTTCATCGACTTCCTCCCTCTGACCCCGGCCGCCCCGCGTGGCAAACCCCTTTGTTTTCCAGAGCCGCTACATGGCTTTAGGCCGCATTTTATTTATTTACATGTTTTATCTGCAAATCCCAGGTGCGGCAGGAGATATAGGGAACGGCTTGACGACTGAATGGCGCTGAAGCGTGTCGTCGAAGCGCCGTGCCACCCTCCGCCCGCTTTGATACCCGCTGGCAGCGTCAGCGAAACACGCTCGTACGGCACACGCTCTCCTGAAATGCGTGTGGCTGCGTTGCATGTTTTGCTGCGAGTTAAAAGCCTGTGGTGCGTGACGGGACGTGCATGGCGACGTTGCAGGGATTCAGAAATTGGTGGCACAGAGGGACATACACGGGGTTAGCTGTGGTCGATTAGTGTGACATTCATAGCGCTCCCAATGGGGGGGGAGGGGGGACACCATCTAACAGCTCTTACCACTGACCACCATCTTGCTCTCTCTCTCTCCCCCTCCCCCTCCCTCTCTCTATATCCCCCCACCCCCAGAGTCCGAGCAGAGCAGTAGTCCTCGCACAGCTATCGGCTCCGACCAAGAGGACAGCAGAGCAGCAACTATGGGTAAACCATCCTGTTGTCCCCCCGCCCCTGCCCCAACAGTGATCTCATCAGGGTGTGCCCACGAGCCTGCAGGGTGTCCCAGTCCCTCACCTGAACGGCGCCACTCAATTCTCCCTAGTTACTGGATCCCATGAGGCTGAATCCTCTGCCCCATGTTTAGGCTCCACCCACTGAAGGAGATGATTTCTTGTAGCTGGAAAATAGCCAGCAGGAGGGATGTGCTGCCTGTCATTGCCGGGGGGGAGGGGGGGGGTCACTGCGGTACTGGTGCTGAAGTCCCATTCGGCCAGTTTCCAGTAAGCTCCCGATAACCAGAAGCCAGAATCTCCAGCAGCGCAGCCCAGTGCCGTGATTGATGTTTGAGGACATTTTTACTGCAGAAATAAACTGGAAGTTGTTTCGGATTAACTTCCCGTGCTCAGAAAGGGAGCATAGTGAAGTAGGCCGTGTTTGACCTAGTTAGCATGCACCTACAGGAGACAGCGCCCCCTGTGGGCACATCTGGGAAATAAATCACATTTTTAACAAAACTTTGACACATTAGTGTTTTTGACTTGGATGGGCATTCCTGTACTGAAACAGCATTAGAGTAGATTCTTTTATCCAAAGCAACAAACTCAGAAAGCAGGGTTAGATTGAACAGTATGACTCCGCCCGGCCCCTTGCCTCCACATCAGTATCCCTCCGCCCGGCCCCTTGCCTCCACATCAGTATCCCTCCGCCCGGCCCCTTGCCTCCACATCAGTATCCCTCAGCCCGGCCGCTTGCCTCCGCATCAGTATCCCTCCGCCCGGCCGCTTGCCTCCGCATCAGTATCCCTCCGCCCGGCCGCTTGCCTCCGC